AATCCCAATATGATATGTGAAAGAACGCTTAAGTAAAAAATGAAAACAATGCTTTTTATTAGTCCTCTAGCCTAATATACACAGTCAAATGCAGCCAAGCTCAAGCACTGTCAGGACTACTAGTAGTTAACTTAGAAACAAGTCTTAGAAAGAGAAAGCAAGAAACTTTTCTGTAACACAAAAGTGATTCTTAAAATACTATGCAAAATACTGTAGCCTAAAGTGCTAATATGCAAATGGTCATGCCCTCACACCCTAAGGGCTCAGACACTCAACACCTGGGAGAGAGGAATGGGGACCAGCCAGGATGAGGTCCAGGCGAGGGACAAGCTGCCCACCCTGTGGACCTGGGCATCAGCGCCTGCAGCCTGGGAGAGGGACAAGCCACCTCCTCATGGTCCCAGGCACCAGCGGCTGGGGCTGGGGCTGGGGCCCGGGAGAGGGACAAGCTGCCCACCCCACAGTCCCCATTTCCTGCGGCTATGCTGGCCCGGGTAAAGCCAGACCAGGTCCTGAGTGCCTACAGCAGCCTGAGGGAGGAAAGCCCAGGTCCTGGTACTTGCGACCGGCTGGAAGAGGGAATCCTGGGTATAGGGTGTGGGGCGAGGCAGAGGTGGTTCGGAGCAATCAGACCAGCAGGAGAGCAGTTAGGGGCAATCAGGCAGGCAAGCAGTTAGGAGCCAGTGGTCCCAGATTGGGAGAGGTAGCTGGACATCCCCCAAGGAGTCCAAGATTAGAGAGGGTGCAGGCCAGGCTGAGGGACCCTACCCCTCCAACCCCCCAGTACACAAATTTTGTGCACCAGGTCTCTAGTATGTATATATGTAAGTCATGTTAGTGAGCTGGAATAAAGAAAACAATATTTTCACTGTTCCAAGACCTAGCCCATCTTTTATAGTATAAATTATCCCAGTTCAGATTATCCTGATTATTATTTTTATTGACAAGAGCATGTGTAAAATTGACTTAGATGCAGTAGCTCAAAATGCACAAGTAAATGACATTTTAGACACTGATTACAAATTCTTAGTAAGATTCACAAAATTACTACTTAGAATGAAAACATAATAAGCTTCATATTTAAAATTTATAAATATATCAATTACCTATTACAATGTCCACACTATTTTAACATTATATTTTTTTTCTGCCAAAGGGTCTTTGCATTAGATTTTTATTGAAAAATAAGCAAATTAAATTTCATCATCAAAAGGATTTCTGTTATTTACAAAAGATTTCCAAAACTCAGAACAGCTCAATTAACACTATATTTCTTACAAAAAGTGACTAATAGCATCAAGGAAAATCTAGTTTCCTGAAACCTATGAGCTACATGATGTATGTTAGCCTTTCCCAAAATATATTCTCAATAATATTAACAAATGTTAATATAAAAATAGTAAGCCTTGGTCTTTATAAAAAAATATATATTTTATTGATTTTTCTTACAGAGAGAAAGGGAGAGAGATAGAGAGATAGAAACGTCGATAAGAGAGAAACATTGGCCAGCTGCCTCTTGCACACCCCCTACCGGGGATGTGCCCACAACCAATGTACATGCCCTTGACCAGAATCAAACCTGGGACCTATCAATCCGCAGACTGATGCTCTACTGCTGAGCCAAACCGGTTTCGGCAGCCTTGGTCTTATTTACTGCAAAAATTTCCCCAGTTTGTTACTTGCCCTTTTAATGTTGTTCTTTTGTTCCTATTCTCAGAAATGTAAATTTTCACATAATAAAATCAATTTTCCCTTTAACTTCTTACATTCATGATAAACTTTGGCTTATTTTAATCATTTCAGACAATGAAATGAGATATTATACTTATCTATATTTCCATACACGTTAATGACTTGATCTTTCTTTAAAAAGATGTTATTCTTTAAAATTATATGTTCTTTTATTTTCAAAGTTCTTACAATAAAATATTCTTTCACTTTAAAAGTAAGGTTAAAAAGACAAGAAAAAATGCAAAATATACAGAATAACATAGTTTAAAGATCTAAGGCATGATCCTTCAAATTCTTTTCTATTCACATACAAAAATATATACAAGAAAAAGTGTCCTGCCGAAACCGGGTTGACTCAGTGGATAGAGCATCGTCCCAGGTTCGATTCTGGTCAAGGGCATGTACCTTGGTTGTGGGCACATCCCCAGTAGGGAATGTGCAAGAGGCAGCTGATTGATGATTCTCTCTCATCGATGTCTCTAACTCTCTATCCCTTTCTCTTTCTCTCTGTAAAAAATCAATAAAACATATGAAAAGAGGAAACCAAGATGGTGGCATAGGTAAACGCCTAACTGCAACCTCACACAACAATTTAAAAAAATACAACTAAAATATAAAGTGGACATTATCCAGAACTACAGAAAAATTGACTGACTGGAAATTCTACAACTAGAAGGAAAGGGAAAACCAGAAGGAAAATCAGAGGAGCTGTAAAAGCCTAAGGTACGGAGACCCGTGCACATGTGGGGAGAGGACAGAGCCGGAGAGGAGGGGTGGCTGAGTGCCTGGCTGGCGTTCCCTAGCAGGAAGGAGACAAAAGCTCCGGACTGTGCTGAACCCCAGGTCCGACTGCACTGAACCCCAGTTCTGGGTGAGACCCTGGGGTCTCAGGCTCATACAGAGGGATTCTAGGCTGTACGGCGCAAACTCAGGGGAGCGGCGAAAGGCAGAGCCCCAAAGTCACACACATTGCACGCAGAGGAGGGACTGTTGACTGTGCTGCTGGATTGCCCTAGCAGGAAGGAGACAAAAGCTCTGGACTGTGCTGAGCCCCAGTTCCGACTGCACTGAACTCCATTCTAGACCATACCCTAGGGATCCAGACTCATGGAGGGAATCTGAGCCGTAAGGCAGAAACTCAGGGGAGCAGCAAAAGGCAGAACCCCAGAGTCGCGCACATTGTATGCAAAGGACTAACTGTTGACTGTGCTGCTGGATTGTCCTAGCGGGAAAGAGACAAAAGCTCCGGACTGCACTGAACCCCACTTCCAACTGCACTGAACCCCAGTTCCGGGCTCATTGGGGGAGAGGCTAGACTGTCTGGTAGTGGGCAAAACTCGAGGGCACCTTTCTCTCAGAGGTGCTTGCAGCGAGTACCAAAGGACACTGAGGAACACTGAGTCTCAGGAACCTCATAGGGCGGGGTTGAGAGGAAGCCAAGATTGTAGGCTCCTCCCTGAAACTCCACCCCATCCATGCTGAGCACAGAGGCTTTTGAATAAGGCTGTCTCCCAGCATAGACACAGCTGATCCTCACAGCCAATTGGCCTGGAGGTCAGTTTCTCCCAGTGATACCAACAACAAACAAGACTTAACTACAAAAGACTGTACACACAACCCACAAAGGGGTGCACAAAGAGTGTCCACCTCAGATAACTGGGAGGCTGACCTACTGAACCATATAGGACACCTTAACACACAAAGCCACCCTACCACGGCAGGAAAAATGCCAAGACAAGGAAACAGATCACAAACGAAAGAAATGGAGGACAAAAAGCGACTGGATATAGAGTTCAAAACCACATTTATAAAGTTTTTCAAGAATTTCCTAGAAAATCCGATAAGATAAATGAGACCGATGAGGCTATGAAAAGGGATCAACTAGAAATAAAGAACACATTGTCTGAAATAAAAATTATACAGAGTCTTAAAAACAGAATGGATGATCGCAAGAATCAAGTCAAAGATTTGGAACACAAAGAGCCAGAGGACACTCCTCCGCAGAAGCAAGAAGACAAGAGAATCCAGAAAGTTGAAGATAGCGTAAGAAACCTCTGGGACAACTTCAAGCGAACCAACATCAGAATTATGGGGGTCCCAGAAGATGAGAGAGAGCAAGATACCAAAAACATATTGAAAGAAATAGTGAAAGAAAACTTCCCCTACCTGGTGAAAAGAAACAGACTTACAAGTCCAGGAAGCGCACAGAACCCCAAACAAAAGGAATCCAAAGAGGACCACACCAAGACACATCATAATTAAAAGTCCAAGAGCAAAAGACAAAGAGAAAATATTAAAAGCAGCAAGAGAAAAGCAGGTAGTTAACTATAAAGGAGCACCCATAGGATTGTCAGCTGATTTATCAACAGAAACCATGCAGGCCAGATGGAAATGGCAAGAAAAATTCAAGGTAATGAATAACAAGAACCTACAGCCAAAAATACTCTACCCAGCAAAGCTATCACTCAGAATCAAACGTCAGATAAAGAGCTTTACAAATAAAAAAAGGTTAAAGGAATTCATCACTGCCAAACCATAATTATATGAATTGCTGAAGGGGGTTCTTTAGGAAGAGGAAGAAAATAAAGATAAAAATTATGAACAACAAATATGTAACTATCAACAAGTGAATCTAAAAACCAAGGGAATTAAAAAACCTGATGAACAATATTAACTGGTGAATATAACAGAATCAGAGGTATGGAAAGGGAGTGGACTGACGATTCTCAGGGAAAAGAGTAGTGGGGGGTACGGGAAGAGACTGAACATAAATTGTGCACCTATGGATGAGGACAATGGGGGATGGGGAAAGGGCAGAGGGTGGGGTGGGAACCTGGTGGAGGGGGAAAAAATGAGGAACTTTTGTAACAATATGAACAATGAAGATTTATTTAAAAAAAAAAAAAAACCATATTAAAAAAAAGAAAAAGTGTCCTTTCAACTTACTTAAGACATTTCACCTCTCCCCCTCATGATGTCTTAGCAGCTCCTTGATAAGGATGGAAGAATGCTAGAAATGGAGTATGTTAATAGTAATTCTGATTGTCTAAGAAGAGATATAGTACATTTACCCAAGATTCTCAGACTTAAAACTTAACTACAGAATTCTTTATTCAAGTAATGATAGTTCAAAGACCTGGTAATTTTTTAAACACTATTTTGGAAATGCTAGCTTAGCTTATTTTAATCATTTCAGATAACCCAGAATTGTAATGTTTTTGTAAATTCAAAGTGTGCATATCAAATATGAAAATGAAAAACGAACTTACTTGGGATACACTGGTTCATAAAGGTACTTGTCTCCTCTTGTAGATATAATGTGAAAAAACAAGATGTAGCCATTTGCCGTCTGAAAGATAAATTTTATTTACCATAAATTAAAAGGTAAGACTATAAGAACCAGCAGAATCACACAATAATCACTTCCAAAACAGTTCTGTCTTAACAAGATGAAGGGAAATGAGATGAATGTGTACTATGTACAGGATTGCACTGCTCTGCAACTTACTATATTTCACTCCTTTAGAAACTGCTCTCAGCTGTTATTTGGTGATTCAAAATCTTAAGGAAAAACTTTCACAATGAAACAAAGGAATTCTAAAGTAACTGACAACTTTCCTTTATTTTTAAACAAATTACATTCTAATTTATGTTACAGTGCCTCTCAGGTTGCTTTAGTTAGTGTGAAGGGGAGTATTAAAGTTAGCAGTGGGAAACAGAGTTAGAATGGCAGGTTGGAGCCAGATCACAGGAGACCCTGAATACTAGGCTAAGCAGTTTTGAACATATTTTGTTTGCAATAGGAAGCCAATACAATGTTTGAAAATAACATATAAAAGCTGTGACTTAGCTATGCACAATTAAGATGCCTTTCAAGTGGAGAAAAATACTAGCTAAAAGTTTTGAGTTCTAGGTAATCTACACAAAATATAAAAATGATCTCTACTAAGGTCATGACAATGAGAATAAAGAGAAAGGATGACAGTAAACTAGAGATAGGACTTAGCAGCATATTGATGACTAGAAGGGAATGTGAATCAAAAGATGCCAGAGTGCTTTCGTATTATAAGCAAGGTTACAATGAAAATACACATATGCCTAGATACACCAGTACTGTTCTGTCTGCTATGGCTCAGATGGTTGGAGTGTTGTCCCACACCCCAAAAGATGGTGGGTTCATTTCCCGGTCAGGACATATAACTAGGTTTCTGGTTTGATCCCCAGTCAAGGTGGGAGGCAACCCATCCATGGATCACACCCACATCAACGTCTGTCTGTCTCTATTTCTCTCAAATAAAATAACACAAAATAAAAAAATAAATGAATACAATGGTGTTAATATTTGTCAAATATAATCACAGAAATGAGACAGTACTTAAAATTGATTTTAATGCTCCTTGTGCCTGAATATCTATTCATTGTTTAAAATTTAGAATAACTGCCCTACCTGGTTTGGCTCAGTGGATAAAATGTCAGCCTGTAGACTGAAGGGTCCTGGGTTCAATTCTGGTCAAGGACACAAGCTTGGGTTTTGGGTTCGATCCCCAGTGGGGGATATGTAGGAAGCAGCCAATCAATGATTCTCTCTCATCATTGATGTTTCTATCTCTCCTTTCCTCTCTGAAATTAATAAAAATATTTTTAAATAAAATAAATTTAGAAAAACATTAGGAATAATTATGCCTACCATAATAACTCAGAATCCTCGATTAAATAGTTAATTCATAATCAATATATTTCATGTCAGGTTAAGAAAATGTACAATACATTTGAGTGAAAAGAACCATCAAAATTAGTAAAGCTTTAGAATCCAATTACCTGGTATACTTTGGTTACCAGGAAAGTTCACTTATCCAGTACCCATTCCATTGCAATACATGCTTCCTTAACATTTATTTTTATTATACCTTGACAGTTTATCTTTTATTTAATTTTTCTTTAAAATATATATTTTTTATTGATTTCAGAGAGGAAGGGAGAGGAAGAGATAGAAACAGCAATGATAAGAGAGAATCACTGACTGGCTGCCTGCTGCACACTGGGGATTGAGCCCGCAACCTGGGCAAGTACCCTCGCCGGAATCGAACCTGGGACCCTTCAGTCAGCAGATCAATACTCTATCCAGTGAGCCAAACCGGCCAGGGCGATAGTTTATCTTTTAGTATAAATGGCTATTTGCAAAGAATGATTGCTTTGCTGAGTAGATAATATAAAAACATCAGTGACCTTTCTCAATTATTACTATACTAGAGGCTCTATGCATGAAAATTCATGCAGTAGAGGGGGGTCCCTCAGCCAAGCCTGACCCCTCACAGTCTGGGAGCCCTCAGGGGTGGGAGGCAACCTGGTGGTCAGGGGAAGGCGATGTCCAATCACACCTCTGCTGCTGCCACTACTGGCAGCGCAATCCTCGGCTGACCCTGGTTACCTGAGCCTTGGGTGGCCCTGAGTGGCTGGGCAGCCACCATCCGAGGCTTGCCTGAACTTCGGGGCGGCCCTGTAGGGGCTAAGGAGATTGGGGGACTCCAGAAGCAGGCATGTAGGATAGACCCAGCTTTGCCACGCACCTGCCGCCCCAGCGGGGCTAAGGGGACAGGATGCCATCTTTGAGGGCAGGACAGTCAATTAGCTTATTCCCTCTTTATTAGATGGGACAATTATTCTCCTTCTGCATTAGTCTACATTATAATGTAAGAAATAAAAATTTAAAACAATCTCTTTTGTAGGTAGAGGCAAATAAGGTGAACCAGTAGAAATGGTTATTTTAAGTTGAGTTTCTGGATTCTGGAGAGATGGAAAGACAGAGGACACATTTCTAACCTTTTCCTTCTCAGAGTACGTTTACCAAAACTTGTGTGGATGGGCCTAGAGGATGCTCTTGAGTTCCCTTGAGGAAGAACGATTGCTGAGGGACCAGGACAAAGGAAAGTTCTGCTTTGCCAATCCTCGAGATTCTGGTTCCCTAAGTATGCCTTAAAAGCAAAAGCCCATGGCTGAATATGACTGCTCCCAGAAGTGGATACTGACAGAACTGTCCACATAACCCCGTGACTCCAGCCAGCATAGAGGTTGCACTGGTGAACTACATTGCTCCCAGACCTCAGGGTCTGAAGGAGCCATCAGTTTAAGGTCCTTCAACTAGAAGAAACTGCCTAAAAGTAGAGGAGACTCATCCTAAGCTTCAACATAGAAGAGTTTGTAAGCAGTTTGTCTCTGCAAACTACCATTTGAGCTAACACCTGTTGGTTTGCATGGCCAGAGAGACCCACAGGAAAGCCTGACCTCTATGGGGAGCAAACAAACGCAGGAAAGGAAAATTCCGCTTTATGGGAGCTCAGTAACTTGGCATAATGTTCTCCAGATCCATCCATGTTGTTATAAATGGCAAATTTGAGAGGTTTGCAAATAGTGAATAAAAAATCAAGAAGTAACACAGGACATGACAAATCTTGTTCTGTTCTTCTATTATTTAAAAAATCATAAAAGACAAATTCCCTAGCTGTAGAAACATTTGAGTCTTTAGATACACTGCTAAAATTGAAAAATCTACTTACTGACACAGCTATCATTGTACTATCTGGCCTCCATTCAGCTTGCTTGTAGGGTCCAAACTGAGAAGATGATTTTGCAAGTTCCTTGTAGGTTACGATTAACACACTGGGCTGAAAGAAGAGAGTTGTGTTTTATTAATGTATTATAAGAATATATACAAACAAATGTAAGATAATTTAGCATAAAGTACCCAAAATATTTTAGTGATTCTAAAAGTGTAATAAAACATAATCCAATACTAACTCATTAATTACCTTAAATTAGTCCAAGGAAATCAACTAAAAATAACCAAAAAGAAAGGTAATCTAAATAGGCCTATATCTATTAAAGAAATTGAGTTTCTAATTAATAATCATTAAAAAAACAAAATAGAAATAGGCGCAGATGTGTTTACTGGTGAATTCTACCAAATATTTAAGGAAGAAATTTAAGGAACAAATTCTCCACAATATCTTCCAGAAGACTGAAGCAGAGAGAATACTTCCTAACTTTTCCTATAAGATAGCATCACCCTAATACTGAAACCAGACAAAAACATTACAAAAAAGGAAAACAACAGTCCAATATCACTCATGAACACAGCTGCAAAAATTCTCAACAAATTATCAAATCTAATCCAACAATGTATAAGAAGAATTATAAAATACAAACAAGTGGGATTTATTCCAGGAATGTGAGGCTGAATCAATCGATATTTGAATATCCATTAGTGTAACCCATCACAATGGGATAATGGAGAAGCAAAATACCCAGAATAGCCAATTCAATGTTGAAGAAAAAGAACTAAGTCAGAGAACTGACATTACCCAACTTCAAGACTTACTATCTATAATAATAAAAGCTAATACGCTAATTAGACAGAATGTCCTTCTGGATAACCTTCCGGACTAAGCAGGGACTGCGAGGAAAGCCCAGCTCCCAGGTGCCAGCAGCCAAAGTAAGGAAGGCCTACGCTTGTATGAATTTTGCGCATTGAGCCTATAGTAAAGGTATAATAATGAAGACAAACTTGTACTGGCAAAAATAAAGAAAGAAAAAATAAAAAAAAGAAAATATAGCAATGGAACAGAATAGAGTCCAGAAACAGACCCATATAAATATAGTCAAGTGACTTTTAAAAAAAGAATAAAGGTAACACAATAAAAATTGGATGGTCTTTTCAACAAATGGTGGTGGAATAATTGGACATTCACTTTCTGCATAAGAGAAGGTTCCACAGAGTCATCTTATACTTTGTCTGCCCTTGCATTAGAATTAGCTATTTTTTCCAGGCAATTCTGTTTCTCTTTTTTTCTGTTAATTCTCACCCAAGGATACTTTCCCCATTGACTTTTAGATAGAGTAGAAGTGAGGGAGAGAGAGAAACACTGATGTGAGAGGAATTGGTTGCCTTCAGCAAGTGCTCTGACCAGGGCTAGGGATTGAACCTGCAACTCAGGTATGTGCCCTTAACCTAGAATCGAACTCTGTGCATGAGCCGAGGCTCCAACCACTGAGCAACACCAGCCAGGGCTCCTGTTTCTTTTTATTAAAGAATAGTATTTAGAAATCAAGATCTGGAAACAAGACATTTATTGCTAGTGAGATGTCATTGCTTCTAGCTTCTAGGCACTCTCAGACAACAGTGTAAAATACATATACATATCCCATATGTACACGTATACCTCTTTATATATACATGTTGTTATACCCAGAAATACATGTGATTATAATCAAGCACATGATGGTTCACTCTAGTCTTCTCCCTTTTAACTTTTTTTTAAGATAGGGAGAAACCTGGCTATTATTTCTCAAAATTAATTGAGTTCTTTGGAATTAACTATAACCCTATAAGAAAATACTAATAATTTACAACCAGAATAGTTTTTATGAATATCTTTTTTTAGTTTAGCCTTAGGATAACCAGTTAAAACACTGTTTTCCAAAGTTATGTAGGCCACCTCCTTAAAGGCTTTCTTTAATCTCTAAAACTAAATACAAGTTTCTCAGAAGCTAACAATACTCCAAACATATTAAAACTGCTAGACATTAACTGTTTTTACTTCAAATATCAACCAAAATTTAAAAACATCAGCAAGATGGCAGAACAGAAAACTTGGACTCTGTCCCACACACACAGATTCAGTAACAATTCACAGAAAAAAATTCTGCTTCTGAGTAATCCAGAAACTACTGGTAGTTGAAAGGCACCTGAATGCTGAATGAATGTGAAATTAGACTAATCAAACTTGGTAGGGAGATCAGAACACCCTCAACAGTGCCAAGAAATCTTCCCATTCACAGTTAATCCCTAAGGAGCAAAAGACATAAACTCCATGTCCAATGCCCCAACCTTTCCACTGGCTTCTGTCTTGCCAGTCTTGGAAGTGATAGAACCAGCATAACCTAGCTATCCAACAGAGAATATGGATAGTGTCATGGACGTATAGTCATCATATCTTATCAGCACCGAGAGAACAAAGATTCACAGCTCTTACTGGACAAAAATCATATACCTATGGATGAGGACATGGGGAAGGGGGGAGGTAAGGGCAGAGGGTGGAGTGGAAACCAGGTAGAGGGGAGCTATGGGCAGGGGGAGGAGAGGAGAAACAATTATAATAATCTAAACAATAAATATTTTTTAAAAAGAATAAAATTAAAATAAACAAAAAAGATAACATATATATGATTTAATACATAGTCTGTGTAATAACTAGTTTAATGTCTCAGATTTTGTATGAACTTAGTCATAATTCTAGTCAATTTTCAGATAAAGTTGCTACATAAAAGTGTAAGTACTTAATATATATTTAACAATAAATGAATGAATGAGAGAAAAAAAAATTCACAGCTTTCCTAGGCAAAGAAATCATTTGTCCACAAACTTCTATGGAGACTACCCAAAGGAATGACTTCTGCCTTGCTGTTCTTAGAGTGCTGATGAGATCTAGAAAAACCTAGCTGTCTGGGGGTGAGAACAGAAACAGAAATTTAGGCAAGCAGTTTCCATAACCCCTCCCCGCTGGCTCAACACAGAACAAGTGGACAATAAACCCAGCTCCTAACCTCTCTGGGGAGCAAGATAGTCCACTGCTCTAATGCCCAAACCTTTCTTGGGGCTGCCCAAAGGGGAGGGGTTTCTGCCTTGCCTTTCACAGGACGTTGATGAGACCTGCCAAATCAAGTGAGAATCCAGACAGAGGTGTGAGTTGCCACAGCCCCTCCCCATCTTAGCACAGAACATGGGGGAAAACTTCAGGTCCCAACTTATACCTAGGAAGGGAAAGAGTTGAATCCAACTTTTCAGGATGCCTGATGAACAATTTCAGTCTCACTTGTTGAAGCACATTTAGGGAATCCAGCATATCCTAGACACCTGAGAACTACAAAGAATAAAGGAAGCGCATTGGATTAACATGAAGTTTGAGAGACTATAAGAAATCTCCGGCTGTCTGATTGTTAGGAGACTTTTAATATATGAGGCCAGTTTGTGAAGACTGAGAGAGGTGGCTGCTCTAACAGACGGAGAGTTAGTGAAGATGATAAAAACAACCAAGTATGTTCCAAACAAAGGAATGAAATCTCCAGAAACAAACCCCAATGAGACAGAGATACATGATTTACCAGACAAGTAATTCAAAATAACTATCAGAAAGATGCCAACTAAGGTCAGGAAAACAATGGATGAACAAGTGAATTTCAACAAAGAGAAAAAATTTTAAATTTACAAACAGAAATCATGGAGTTAAAGATAATTATCTTGAGGAGTTCAACAAAAGACTAACTCATGCATAAAAAGAATGAGCAGATTCTAAGAAAGGTCATTTGCAATCACTAAATCATAAGAGTGAATAAAATTTAAGGGACCAACAAGCAGACTAGAGCAGATTCTAAGAAAGGTCATTTGAAATCACTAAATCGTAAGAGTGAATAAAGTTTAAGGGACCAACAAGCAGACTAATATAACATAGAAGAGAGAGAGAAATGACCAGAAAACTTATTAAAAAAATAATGATTGGAAACAGAAATGGACATCCAGATCCAAGTCCCCTATAAGAAACTCAAATCCGCACTGAGACAATTATAAATTGTCAAAAGTAAAAGCAAAGAGAATATATTGAAAATAGAATAAAAAGGCAACTTGTCAGGTACCAGGGAATCAACCCCCATAGAACTGTAAGTCATTTCTGAGCAGAAACCTTGCAGGCCAGAGAGGAGTGGGATGATAGATTCAAAGTGCTGAAAGAGAAAAGCTGCAAACAAGAATATTATTACATCTGGCAAAAATGTCCTTAAAAAATAAAAGACAGTCTTTCCTAAACAAACAAAAGCTGAGGAAGTTTATCACTACTAGACCCACTTGCCAGAAATGCTAAAGGGGGTTCTTTATGTTGACAGAAAAGGTCACTAAAGAGCAACACAATAGCATAAACAAGTATAAAAGTGGTTGGCATTGGTCGATATGTACACAAATAATAGAATATTGTAATACTGTAGTGGTTAGGTCACAAAACAAGTCTTAACAAATTTCAGAAGACTGAAATCATACCAACTATCTTTTCTGACCACAATGGAATGCTACTTGAAGCCAAGACCAAGAGAAAAACTATAAAATTCACAAATATGTGGAAATTAACATGCTCTTGAACAACAAAGGGATCAAAGAAAAAATCAAAAGGAAACTTAGAAAATATCTTGAAGACTAAAATGCAACATACCAAAATCTATGGAACGCAGCAAAAGGACGCTTATAGTGATAAACACTACATTTAAAAAGATCTCACAACAACCTGATTTTATGCCTCAAGGAACTAGAAAAAGAACAAAGTCTAAAGTTAAATAAAATTAGAGTAGAAATTAAGTAAACAGAGAATAGTAAAACAACATAGAAATAACAAAAACGGTTGGTTTTAAAAAAGATAAACAAAATTGAGGAAACTTCACTTGTAGGAAAGCTAGACTTGAGGCAGGATAGTTAGATGTTAGGAGACATTTTCTGGGAAAAGGGGAACTGAGGCAAATGGTTAGACAAATAGAGCCAAACAAGTCAAGCAATTTACAACCAGATAGTAAATAGTAAGCGCTTATATCCCCTAACCAAGCACACTTGAAAATAAATAGTTTACAT